CTGAAAGGTTCAAAAATAAGAGCTACCCTTGGGGGTGAAAATACTGCACGCATGGTAATGTAATGGTTTGCTGTTGCTGGGTGCTGTGGAGTAGGAGCTCACCCACAGCAGACCCTCCAGGAGGTTTTCAGAGTCAGCAAATTGCACACGGGGACACTGCACATCTATCTGCTGTAAAGCAGCTGGTGGATTGGAACCATGAGTCATCAGGATAGCAGTAAAGCCTCTTACTGCTAGGTCACCAGAGCTTCCTTCAGTAAAGATTACAGGGCTAAAAATTATGGAGCAGTTCTATTCTGTTACATATGATCAGTTCTATTATTACATTAAGTTTTAGTTAAAAACCATGTAAAGCATTTCCAATTCAAAAAGTACCATGGAGAAACCCTGTTGTTAGGTGTCATCAATTCAAGTACTACTTATAGCAGTCCTTTGAACAGACCTGACCCATGTCCTATCCTGTGTTATTCTCATCATCCCTGATAAACTTGAGGCCACTGTGGCAGTCAGCGTGTCAATCCACCTTGTTGAGGGTCTTACTTTTTTTCTCCAACCAAGGAATACCCTCTCCTAACAACAAAGCCCTAGAGACACAGAATAGGAAGCCTGCCTAGATTTCTAGCTTTCCAGCTTTGACAGGGTATCAGTGGCACAGCAGGTTAAGCATTGGGACACTTACTTATAGGTTGGTAGTTTAAACACACCAACACATCGTTGAGAGAAAGAAAAGGCATTCTCTTCCCATTAACCATTACAGCCTTGGAAATTCAGTGGAGGGTCACCATGAGTCAGAATTAACACATTGGCAGTGGTTTTGGTTTAAGTCTCATTTGACTTAGTGGAAAATATTTGTACTTTCCTTTTCTGATACTTCTGCTTGTGAAAGTTTTACCATATTTACTGTCTTCTCAAGATCCTTGCCAAAGTGACACATAAAGATGAGAAAGGCAGTTACAAAGACCTTAAATTCTAGTCTCAAGAAGCAAAGAAGCATGAAAAATTAAATTAGATGAGATGTAAAAGGAGAAAAATATTTAAAAAAATAGGTAAGAATGTGAATTCTATGAAAGGATGGCTTATAAGACTAATGGCTTGGACATCTAAGATTTGGGCTAGGTTTTAGAGGATGGTAGGTTTGATATGTACAAAGTAGATAAGAAGAAAATAAAAGGGATATGAGCATTTCTTAGAAGATACTGTGAGGAAAGTAAACTGGGTAGAAGACATGAAGCAAAATGTGTTTATATTTTAATTTCCCAGTTTACAAACGATTTTCACATCTATTGCTTCATTTGCTTCATGTAACATGTCTATAAAATAAAGGCAGAGACTTTCTTTTTAAGAGCTGAAGAAGCAGTGGTAGGGAAAGTCAAGTCAGTTTTCTTTAGATCAGATAGCTAGTTAATGAAAGGATTAGGTTCAAACCTCTTTTAGATCAGTGCTTCAGTCTGAAAAATGAAAGGGGGAAACACATACTCCTCAAAGCATCATCTTCTCAAACATGGAACATT